ACGATCAAGTGGACAACCTCTATTTAGTGAGACCTCTATTGAATGGCCGACCTCTTTTGAACGATCAAGTGGACAACCTCTATTTAGTGAGACCTATATTTAACGACCAACCTCTTTTAAACGATCAAGTGCACAACTTCTATTAATCGACCAACCTCTTTGAAATGATCAAGTGCACAACCTCTATTTAGTGAGACTTCTATTAAACAACCAACCTCTTAAACGACCAACCTCTATTATACGACCAACCAACTATGAAACGATCAAGTGGGCAATCCTTATTTAGTGGGACACCCTCTAGGAAAAACAAACCTCTATAATACGACCAACATCTAGTACACGACCAACCTCTATGAAACGATCAAGTGGGCAACCCTTATTTAATGGGATACCTCTATGAAAAACAAACCTCTATAATACGACCAACATCTAGTACACGACCAACCTCTATGAAACGATCAAGTGGGCAACCCTTATTTAATGGGACTCCAACCTCTATAAGATTGCCATTTGAAAACTCAAACGTTTTAGAAATTATTACCTGGAGATGATGGACACTTGCAGCATTGCTTTTCCAAGGATTTTTTATCATCTTTAATTTAAAAATTTAAGAAATCTGTCCGCATTTCTAAAAAAAAGTGAACTCAGCCGTTTGTATAATTTTTTTCCCCAGGAACGTGAAAACAAGAAAGAGGCAAAGAGAAGAAACCCTTTTAAGATCAAGCAAATCAAAGCTCGTGGCTAAAGAACTGTTTTTCATAACTCTTCCTCCCATCCGTTAAAACTTAATCGTAAAGCAATAGACCTATCCCGAATTCGCTTGACTGACCACGAAAAAATGGCTTGAAGTCGAGACTGGACTTGATTCTCTTATTCATCAAGTTCAACCTCGACTTCAAACCATTGTTTCGTGACCAGTCAAGCGAATTCGGGATAGAGTCTATTGAACAGTCTAATTAAGGCAGACTTACGTATAACAATCAATTAATTGTCAGTAACAACGTAAATAAATTTCTAAAATGCTGCTCGTAACTTCGTCTCGGACAAGATACATGTAGGAACTGCTCTTCGTGCAATTGAATTTTTTTTAATATATTGCTTTGGAACTTGCAACTGAAAAATGTTTCGTAATAAGTTGCACAAAATTGTTGCTCGTGTATGAAGAAGTTTAGCTTAGATAATGATCGACTGGCTCTTAAAATGCACAATGTTAAATATTTATAACTTCTATATAAGTAGTATCATGCATTATGTATGTAGCAAGGGCTAAAGGCGCGATTACGCGGAGCAATTTTTTATGCAACGTGTCTCGCAACAGCGTTGCAACACAAGTTGCAAAAGTGTTTAAACGGTGAAATGGAAATGCTATCGTTGCCAAAAGTAGTCTCAGGATCTGGGACCGAAACCAATAACGGCTGTGAAGGAGACTATGCCAAAAGTAGAAACTAATTGTACTTTTTGCAACGATTGGTGCAACTTGTTTTAAAGACTGCGCTGTAGGTTACACACTGCAATGCTCCATGCAACTTGTGTCGCAACGCCGTTGCGAGACAAGTTGCAGAGAAAATTGCTCCGCGTGATCGCGCCTTGAACCAAAATTCATCGAGTTCTCTGGACAAGCGTATAAAAATTTATTAGTTCGTTATATGTTTTTTGTACTAGTTTTTTAAATGGGCAGGTGGTATTTAAGCCCTAACTTTATCATTATACTTCTCCTTAATGTTCTAAGCCAGCAACAAAAGGTTGTCGCAGCCAAAGGAAATAGTCAATAGGTCATTCTAAGACTGAAAGGAATTCTGGGTATACAGCTAAACACATACTATCGAAGACTTTGAAATGGTTTCGTCGAATGCGAACGACACTGGGTATCTCAACACTAACGTAACTGTTCTTGGATCTTGGAATGACCTATCGCCGTGCCTTTGGCTCCGTGGACAACCATTTTTGAAATGGATATATCAGTACTGCAGGTGCTGAGCTCCTCAAGTTGAAATAACATTTGAAAACTTTGCCATAAGTTCAAAACTAGAGTGAAGTGATTAAACCCGTGAAATAGATATTAGACTAATACACTTTAGTAGACCTTAACTCCATTGTTTTCTTTTATGTCTATTTGACTAAAACATGTTGACTAGTAATTTTTATTTTACGGGTTTAATGCCTTCACTCTAATTTGACAGGGTTCAAAGGGTCACAGTCATGGTGCATTTTTGCCTAGCTGAAGGTACAAACATCTTTGGTTCACCATGCCTTATATGGTGTTCGTACCCAACCTAGACCAGAATGCATCATTTATTGAACTTTGCAATTTAGGCTTGGAGAAGGCATTGAATTTGTATAGGAAATCACACTTTTTCTTGGAATTTATAAGTACGAGTGATGTTTTGAAAGTTTTCAAAATTGAACGAGCCATCGAGTACAATTTGAGAACTTTCAAAACATCACGATTCAAAATTGTACGGACGATTGTGCGATTTTTTGTTGATAATACACTCACAAAGCTGAAAAACTTAATTGGGAGTCTACAAAGTACAATTTGGGGTTTAATTGTACTCCTCTCGTCTAATCAGAATCGAGTAATTTGGTTGAGTGTATTATAAGGGATAATATTCTGGGTAATGGAATTCCGTATTTTTTGTCGCGGTTTATGTTCAGTTGTTGGAAATAAGGAAGTTTAGTAAACTTTTTATCAAGCATCAAGTACTATAACTGTTATATTTATATATTCTTTTATTTTCGGTATTTATGATCCTGCGAGGATCAGCTCAATTTGATACATTACAACCCGTACCGCAGTACAAATATGTATTTCATATATATTCTCGTACACATATTCTTTTATTTTATAGTTAGGATAGTACGCGTGGGCTGATCGGTCGAAAAGACTGCTGCTAAAACCTGCGACCTTCTTTCTTTTTGCGTAAATAAATTCAATACCGAAATAAAATTATTTACTATATAATAATTAACAAAGAAAACATTTTTCCGTGCTCCGTTCACGCAGGAAGCGCCGTAAGAATTCAAAAACTGTACTTCATGCGTGCTCGATTACTGAACGGAGCACGGAAAAAAGCTGTTCTATTTGTGAGTAAAGAAAGTGCAAAATGACCGACCGATTTGCCCAACTATGGGGACTATGCAACTAAATATGGCTTAAAAGTATTTGGTGGTGAGAAAGGCTAGTTATTTTAATACGATTAGAAATTCCTACTTTTCGTACGCAAAGAAATCGTGAAACGAAAACACCTATACAAGAAACAGGGCGGTATTTGGTCAAATCGCAGAGGGTCTTGCTTTCTTGTTCAAGCTTATCCTAAGTAGCCTATGTAGCGGCGTGTGCACTGATTGAAAAGTTACTTTGATCACGATAAGCTCGTAATTACTTTTTATTTACTTCCTATGAATATACGGGTTAGTTTTCTGAAGATTGTCCCTCCTTTGTGGACTTGACCATCTTGCTAATCAAGCTTGTTCCACATAGCATAAAGAAGAAAGAAAAAACAATTGAAACAGCATCGTCCAAAAACCAAAGATTAGGCCTAGTTTGCATGTATATGAGCTCTGCGGAAAAACCTCCAACTAACAACACACACGCAAAAAAGGTATCTATTGTTATTGCCATCATTATTGGGCTGTTTAGTTTACGAGCAACATTATACAAGGCGAAAGTCAGTATGCCTGAAATGGCTATTGCTACAGCAATAGTGATCAAAACTAATTTTGGTTTTTCCGAATGTAAGGAAATAAATAAACGATATGTTGAGATTCCCAAAGTAATCATTCCCGATAGTATAAAAGTGCCTCCAAAGAACAAAGAGCCAACCTTCTCGCGGAAGACTATCGTTCTTCTTTCGCCATCAGGGCAATATAGTCGCCACAACACAAATCCTGCTCCCATGACGGCAAACAACGCGTCCATCCCCAAGGCTATCGTCGCAGAGCTGTTCATTTCCGATGATAGTACAAAGAATAGCACACTAGACACCAACGAAAAGAGTGTTACCAAGATTGTTAATAACACTGCCACGTTTTTCCATTTCTTGGTCTTCTTGCTGGTCAAAAACGTTTTCGAAGTGGATAAATTGTAGATGTAAGATACACATTCGTGCTCAGGAAGGGGCTCTTGGTCTGTAGCGAACATGGCTGATACGTTAGATGGGATTTTCATCGAGTCACCGTTTGCTTTACCTTGTTCGTTGGGCTTATTATTTACTTGACTTCTCAAGACTGGTGGACTTGGCAGCGCTGAGATTTTCTTCATCTTCAGTGAATGAAATTTTATCTAATTCCTCTCAGTTTTTCCACTTTTTTTGACGTTTCACCCACAGATCTCGTAATGTTATCATACCAATCAACAAGCTATGCAAAGGTCCTTTTTCTACATGTATATATTCGTACAAAGCGGCAGTCAAACAAACACTTTTTTAACTAGCATAATCACTGGATTTCCTGAAGTAAAGCATCAACGCTTTTAGAGTCAGTCTTTTGTAAAACTTCATTGAGCCAGAACATTAGTATTCAATATCGGATCAGTTTGTTGACTATCGTGGTTACGCCCATCTAAATGTTGAGAAAACTCTTGGCCTAAATGATAATCCTTTTACTTCAATCTTTATTTTTAAGCTAGATATTTTCAGAGACATTTGATGGGTGAATTCAACGAATATGCTTAAGAGAAAATGATAGAATCGCGTTTTCGTGGTTCAAGTAAGTTGAACAGAGTACCGAGTGATGTGGAACATTTCTATCGTAATTGAATGCATAGGTATGCCAAAACTTCAACCCCGTTGACAAGTATTCGGATACTTTTGAATATGAAATTTTTTCGTTCCAATATTTGCGTCCACACGTATTCCGGCCGAGACGCGATGTTTATTTGGATCCGCATCGAAAATGCCGCAGATATATAAGTATTTTTTACAATTATTATTGCTCGGGGGGGAATCATCGAATGAAATCTATTAAAATGCATTTAGTAAAGAAACTCTTTCTGCGGCTTGGATATTGGCTGATAATGACAATGGCAGGGCGCTAATTAGGTCGATAGCCTCAGGGACCGCGGAGCATATTGAAAAGCGGGGACTGGCATTTGAAAATTATGCATATTGAACAAAAAGTCAAACAAAAGGTTTAACACAAAAGGATCATCTCTTTATCATCAACACTTTTATAATTAAACAATCGATAAGGGCTAAGCAACCAAGTTGCTATGAGAGACCTTTAGATCCGACGACGAGTACGAGAACGAGTACGAGTGTTTAACTTTTAAAGAGAGGCACTATCTTTTTGTAGTCGTGATCGTGTACGTAGATTGAAACTTTAGATTGTAAAAAATCGGAAATCGAATACGATTCAGTGTTAACCACGTGCACAGGACCAATTTTAAAACTCGTATTCGTACTCGTCGTCGTATCTAAAGGTCGCTATTCTCTCATCTAATACAATCTGAATGCCGCCCTAATTTATTATGTTTTAGCTGTCATCATCAAATTACGAGAAAGAGTGCATGTTTCAGAAATATCCAAATTACTCATAGTTAATTGGTTAAAAAGATCGGATATACCACGGCTTTTTATTTTACCATTGCAATCAGTGGCGAAGAGAAAGTTCCTGTTAAATATTGGGAAAACTTCTCCATTGTTTTGGGGAACACTTAAGCATAATAGGGATCGGTGTATTACCTATGACAAGGAGGGAGAGTACGCCCACGCCTTTATCCTCATATAAACTAATTAGCATATTTCCAAATCCTTTAATCATAGCGATTCTTAACCAAAAGACAGCCAAGTATTTAGTATTAATAATGCTCACGCTATTCACTATGATCATATTTTGCCAAAAACATTGTATTCAACCTTTATTAAAACGATTTGTAAGTTGAAAATTAAGTAAAAGTGTTGTATTGTTTCTGTCCAACAGCATGGGCGCTGCGAAACCTCTCTATCGAAAATGAATGTTTTTACAGACACACTAAGCAAGACATCAGTTTTCTAATTACTATTACTTATTTTATGAAAACAAGAAAAAGAATAATCAATTAGCTATATGAAAATATCGATATAATATTTCAGCACGGCTACCATCACGCACAAGTTTAGCTAATGGTATGCTTTGAACTCACAAGTAAACCTCTTAGCTCCTCCAATTAGCATTTGTACCTCTGGTTACGCCCTACATAGTTTTTACCCCTTTCCTCAGTTATTTTAGGATTATTCTTCAGAGTCTATTGATAGAAATGTTCCTTGTAATCTTTTCTATACATTAACGATATTCATATATTTACAAATGATGACAAACAACATACGAGATCGATGGAACATACAATAAAGCCTTAACCAAGTATTTTTATAATACTAAGACACCTACAAAAAGTACTAAGACACCTACAAAAAAATGTATAAAAGGGGAGTCTACGTCGTTTGCAGAAAATTTCCAGCAACTGGAGAATTGCCCTATTTCACTATGACGTCACATCAAAACAATCTATTGTTTAAACGCAAAGGATCATGGTCGTCGGAGAGGGTCAAATCAACGCAAATTCGCCGAAAATTGTTCTAAAACCCGTATCAAATCCACGAAGAGAAGTAGAATAACCAGCAAACGCTCAGAATATTTTTTAGTACATATTAACACATATCATATCTGAAAACCAGGCCATTTTAGACTAAACTGTTTCGCAAGAAGCAAATTTTGTTGAATTTTCTATTGGATTTGGCGATCCTATCCCCCACATAAACAAGCAGTGACGTCATAGCGAAATAGGGCAATTACACAAGGTAACAGATGTTGTCTCGCAATTTTTTTGTTGTGCGTTGCTCGAAATAGAACTCGGTTCTACTTTTCCGCAACGCCATTGCACAGTGCACGTGTATCAACAACTTTTCTCGCAATTGTAAGGCAATTTTTTTAAGAACGCATGCTCGTGTAGCAATGTAAAACCTTACCTCGACAACTTGCAAAGCTGCATTTTTCAAGCATTACGAGGCAAGTTGCTGAGAAAATTTCAGAGTGTAACAGGACCTTAATTCCATGCAGAGACTATAATAGACTATTCGCAGCTCTTTTTCTACAGGTGTGAGGAAAAACAATCGGCTGTTGATGAGTACGCGTGACTTGTCATACTGAAATCAATGCAGTGTGCTTGCATACCCGTGCATAGATCTCAGTATGACAAGTTTTAAACTTGAGTCATACTGAATATAGTCGTGCTTTCCTCATCAACATCAATTGTCTTCCCTCGCACCTGTAGGAAAAGAGCTGCGACTAGTCTATCGTCTCTGTTCTACATAGAATCAAAACCAAAATGAAAAACTTTGCATTTGAAACTGAGCCAAATGATTCCGCGACCAACACTTGAAATGCATATATGATGAAAAATACAGCCCATAAAACTCAGTATTATTCGTTATCACTCACAACAGTCGTAAAATAAATAAGGAAACGATAAAATAAAATAACAGATAACTTACTCGATCCGAACGAACACCCAAAGCAAAAATAGCTGGCAGGACTCTTAAAACCATATATATAATTTGAAACTAGTTTGAACTTGCGCGCCGTTGTTCATACTGCGTTATCATGAATCATAATTAAGCAAATTAAAAATTATAAAGCTTTCAGATTAAGTAAGTTAAATGGTTCGTAATTAAAAAAAAGGTACACTTAACTGCATTTGAAGTTTTGGAGTTATAGAAGTAAAGGACTTGAACTGTGTTGGCAGTAAGCACGAAATTCGAGGTTCCTTCTGATCTGGTGGCTAAGTGGCAGAGTTTAAAAAACTTTGTTGGACAATTAAGATGAACTCGTCGTGGCACGGCTTAGCCGCTTAAAGCAGTGGAAGGTCAAGATAGACGCATGAGTTTCAAAGCAACACAAAGCCTAAGACGTGTGCCAAGTAATATGTACGTTGTCCGTGAGTCGTTTATCAGTTTTCTAACTCACTCTTGATACAGACATCTTCAAGGAAGAACCAAACTGGACTCGACTTTCCTATGAGGCGATGCATGGAATCTGTCAATGACTTTATTGCGCTCCATTGAGACCGCTGGCCGGGATATTGCGCAATCGAGGATCGGGGTTGTCAGTCTGAGCCTGGGCAGGGTTACGGATCGTATATTTTAATAGCTCTTGTCATGCAAATAAAAATGCATTCTAGTGATATCTATATCTAGTATATAAAAAAATGAATGCTGGTATTCTAGTAATATCTATATCTTGTATATAAAAAATGAATGCTGGTCAAGGGCGGATCCAGGGGGGGGGGGCAAAGGGGGTCTGAACCCCCCCCCCCCCCTAAACTCAATTAGCCCCCCCCCCCCTAAAATTTTGGCTGGATCCGCCCTTTCTGGTATAGCAATAATCTGTTGCAGCAATGTTTATACAAGCACTGAGACCGTTTGGAATGACTGCGAAAACTAAACTTAGATCATGCAGTATAGACTCGTTGAAGTAGATCCACTTGCACTTGTTCAAAGGCATGGAACATCATCAGTACTATAACTGTCTTTCCTTTTATCCCAGTAAAGGACCTCCCACATCATATAAATGATACTCCCAATGATATTCATTAATGACACACCGGTCACGGTAGAACGTCCGTCGAACCAATCAAAGCACTCCTTATCAATTCAACCAGAATGCTCGGAGACGGTTAGACGCCGTCACGACACGGCACAGTAGTTCCACAGCATGTTGTCTTTTCACAATTATGTCGAACGTACTGCTATATATCCTTTTTTACCTGTCCACCAGTATGGCCGCCATGTCTTCCTCTTTTGATTCTCTTGGAAATAGTTGAAAACCACCAATTAATGCCGTTCCTCTTCCCTGAACTGATCCCGAAGCTGAAGGAAGGACAGCGGTAAAGAATATTAAGATATGCAATTATTAAATAAAAAATAGATAATAAGGAAAGTTTTTGAAAATGCTCTGCTCTTATACGAAAGCAAAATATTTGGGAACGAGAGGGGAGGGGAACTAATTTGGAAGTGCAGCAGGTTTGAAATTCTTACCGCGAGGACCGCGATGTATGATGGGAGCGTGTCAGCGGCTACTACCATTAGATTTTGGCCGCCATGTTTTACTTTGTCCAGTAAACTTCAATAAATCGAAAAAGTAAACTTTTCTCTTGATTTTGGTAATTACTTCATCGTTTCTGAGTAAAAATGGGATCTGAAGACGACCGTGATTCGCCTTCTAAGGAGCTAGAACGTGAAAGGTCGAAGCAGAAGGAGAGAGAAAGAGATCGTGACCGACGAGACAAGCACAAGTCTAGAGAACGTGATCGATCCAGAGAGAGAAAAAGAGAAAAAGACCGAGATAGACATAGAGATAGGGATAAAGATGATAGGAAAAGAGATAGAGATAGGAAAAGGGACAGGTCAAGGGATCGAAAGCATCGAAGACGGTCAAGGTAGGTTGTTATTGACAGTCAGTGATATTAAAACTTTGAGAAGGTATTGTAGAAGTTTTGTAATTCATGATTCCAGAACGACTTATTTTTTAAATATATATCGGAAAGGAATCAAAGAAATGTGACATATAACTAGTTAGTTATTAGCAATGATAACAGCCACTAGAATACTGTTGTAGTTTAATATCAAAATAAGTATCAACTTCCATGTTGGATTCCAGTACCACAGGGAGCCCAACAAAGTGGATTATATTGATCATGTTTATGCTCACAATCCATCGTCTTTTATGCAATGGAGTTGGTATTAAATGCTATTCTATTGAATTAATGTTCAGGTCCAGATCCAGATCACCTCATAGAAGCAGAGAAGACAGAAAAAGGTTTGATATTCCTCTCAAAATTATTTATGTGATTCGTACTAGCTAGCTACATACTTGTACACAAGTCTTTTTCTGCTGTGACAGGAGGGGAGTGGTGGTAGAGAAGCTGCAGGGAAGCTTCTTCGTGGCTATAATATGCTTTTGTTGTTGTTTTTCTTTTTATTCCCTTGTTTACTTAGGACTAATAAATATATTTTAGATTGTTGGAAACATTTACATTGTTTTATGATTTACAGTGAGGAAGAAGAAGAACAAAAGAAAGTGAAAGTTGAGGTATATTGAACATGTTGTATCTGAGAATGGTTAAACCTCTATTTAGTGCACATTCTTGGGAAATTGTCAATACTTCATTTTACAGTGCCATTCAGTGACCACGAATAATAGTTCCAAGCCAAGGCTGGAGTTACCACACATGATAAACTGTAGTTTTGCTCCATCCTCAGCTAGGAACTATTATTCTTGGTCACTGAATGGAACTGTGAAATGGAGTATTGGCCACTGTATAAATTGAGTGTTAAAAACCTTCATTGGGACTTTGACATTAATCGTTAACTGGCCTCTACTGTCGTTTGATGATAAAGGCCAGTAATAAAGCTATTAATCAATTGATTAATTATTTAAAATAGTACTTAATGTTATTGGTTTGTTACTCACAGCCATTATCACTGGAAGAAATGATTGCCAAACGAGAGGCCGAGAAGAAAGCTCTAGAAAAGGTAATAATCTATGAATACAGGTCTATCTGATTAGCAAAAGAGAAGTGCCAAGGTAGAAGACTTGAGACAAAAATACAGTTTATCATTTTGAAACAACATTGAAAGAATTTTCAATTTTGCAGCCAACATTTTTGACTAAAGAACAAAGGGCACAAGAAGCACTGAAAAGACGCCAGCAGCAAGTAGAAGAGCAAAAAAGAAAAACGGAGGTCTGGATATATAAATACCATTATCTAGATTACCTTATATTGTTACCAATAGGTCTTCCCAATTAGTAGGGTACTCGTGTGTTAAACTGTGACACATTAATATAGTTATTATTATGATCATTATCGTTATCATTATCATTATCAAATTCATTACCGCTATCGTTATCATTATCAAATTCATTATCATTATCGTTATCATTATCATAGCTGATATTATTATTATCATCGTTATCATTATGATAGCTGATATTATTATTATCATAGTCATATTATAGCTGCAATGTTCCGTGACTTTTTAATGTCCACTATCATTACAAAGCTTCCAAGAAGAATGTAACACCCATAGTTTTTTCTCCAGTAGAAAGTTTGATGTGGTTTTAGCAGTTTTCCAATTATTTTAAACTGGTAATTTGTACTCTCTAGGAGGAGAGACAAAAGAGGGAGACATTTTTAAGAGAAGCTCAACATTCTAAAGGTACACAGTATTACATGGATTGAATAGAGTGATTTTACTTGGCCAGTGAAACCTCCCACCTCCCAAGTGAAACAGGTATAATAAGTGTCACTAACAGTCAAAGTAAATGAGTTATGCTTACTATCTTTTCACAGGCCAAGTAGAATCACTTAAAGCTTAAATACCATGTAGACCTCACTCATCAACTTGAGTTCCATTAGTTCAGTTGGTTAGAGCACCTGACTAGCTAGCAGAACATCACATGTTCGAATCCCACCCAGAGCTCAGAAATTTCTTTCAAGGATTTGCTTGATGAAACACAATTTGCATTTTTAAAATAACTCTGTCAGCAATATTTTCCAGTTACTACTGTTCCTTGATCAGTTTTCTTCAAGTTATTAAACACATCACTGCAATGTTTTTTTAGAGGATGAAAGGGAAAGAAGAGAAAGAAGGGAACGACGTGAAAAAGCAGAGGTAGAAGGGGTATGTATTATATACCTTTTAGTCAAATGGATAGCCTTGCATTGGATCCTTATTATATTTAGACATTAATACGCAGCCCGTAAAGTCCTCCACTGGTTATAAATGTAAAGCACATTGAGATATTTGAAATATAGAAGTACCCCATTATTATTATTGTTGTTTATGAAGCTGGTACTTTGTCTTGATGTGTTATAGGAAGATGAGAAAAGAGACAAGGCCAGGCAAGATAAATATATTGAAAAAGAGCTTGATGCGATAAAGGTAACTTTTTTTTCTTATTTAAGAAAGTACAGTACATATTAATAAGATGCATACTGACTCATAAGACAGTTATAATTGGGTATGACAGAAATTCTATGTTGTTAAATGCTCTAAACTCTGAACATACAGTAGCCAACAAACTCGGCTTCAACCACCAAATTTCCATCTATTTGGTGTCTCTAGGTTTTCTCTTTTGTTACATTTCACAGGAACGATATCTTGGATTGAATAAGAGGCGTAGGAAGGTGCGCAAGTTAAGCGATCGTAAATTCGTGTTTGACTGGGATGCTCTAGAAGATACATCAGTAGATTACAACCCAATGTAAGTTGTAGTGTTGTAACAGTTGCATAATGACAGTTGCCTATCGACAGTAACATAATGACAGTCACAAATTTCCAGATTAATAGTCTTACAACAGCTCATAACAGAGGCCAATCCAGGATTTTGTCTGGAGTGGAGGGGGTTCAAAATGTTAGGTTTGGTTCGGCTCGAGCATAAAACTTTTCAAATGTTACTTTTGTACTGGCTATAGAGGCTTTGCACCATCACGTGACGGCAGCCATGTTAGATGGCAGGAACAATACAATTGTTTTATATGAGAAAAATTTCAATTCCCAAGAGCAAAGGGATTTTATTGTTCTGCTACTGTTTTATGGGTGCCAGCATGTGATGGTGGAAAGCCTCTATTTTCCAATTTTTGGGTTCATGGTTACTGTATGAAGGTTTCGATTGCTGTTGAGCAAGTTCAGACAAATTATTAAATTATTATCTAAATTAGCTGCATCAGTTGGCAAAACTCCCAACTGATCCAACTCTATCCACTGTGGTCCTGATTAAATGTATGTGTATAAGGGACTGTTATTATTTATCAGTGGGGGGAGGGGGGGCTTCAAATTTTAGGGACCCTGAAAAGTAGGGCCTTGAAATAATTCAAATCATATATAGGAAAGCCTTCAAAATGTTGGGGGGGAACAGGCCAGGGGAGGGGATGTCAAAAAGGATTGGGCATATATTTTCTCACCCATCCTCCCCCGCCCCCTATAAGATAAATGATAAAACAGCCTCTAAGTTGTCTACAGTTGCATACCTCTAGATCTATAATATGTTATCTTTTGATGATCATTAGATACAAAGAGAGACATCAAGCTCAGATGTTTGGTAGAGGACACATCGGAGGGATTGATATCAAGGTATTTCTCCCCACCTTAGTATGGAAATGTCATCAAAAATATTTTGTCTCATGTCTATTTATTTCTATTCTCTTAAATGTGACAGACTCAAAAGAAAGAAGCTGGAAAGTTTTACCAAGAAATGCTGGAAAGAAGACGTACACAGGCGGAAAAAGATCAGGAAAGGTTATTATATTTACATGTATTTTATCTAAAACATTCTGCAAAATTAATCATTGAAATTTACTATTCATAAATTCATAATTAAGAATTTCTTGATTCTTAATCCAACTGTTCAGCTCACGCATCCTTAAAGTCAAAGCAAAGGAAAAGAAATTGGCTCATGATGATCGTCACTGGTCTAAGAAGAAACAGGACGAAATGACTGATAGGGATTGGAGAATATTTAGGGAAGATTTCAACATCAGCACCAAAGGTTAAAGCTTTAAAGTAACATTATTTTTACAAATAACTTATAGAAGAAATTTTATTTGTTTGCTCAACAATTTCTTTTGCTTTTTTTCTGTCAGTCAGTTGGTCAGGCAGTTGGCTGGTCAGTCAGTCAGTCAGTCTGTCTGTCTGTCTGTCTATGTGTCTGTCTGTCTCAGTTGCAAGGTCTTTTCACAAACTTTATGAATCAGTCCTGGTAGGTGGTTATTTTTTCTAACTCTATAAACCCAATCAATTCTCTAGGTGGCCGTATTCCTAACCCCATACGAACCTGGGAAGAATCCGGTCTTCCACCAGAAATATTAGAGATTTGTAAGAAGCTGAACTATACAGTAAGTTATGCATGAAACATTTATTAGTTTGCCATGTCATGTCATGTTACAGTATGTTGTGTTATGTAATGTTATACCTCTATAGTCCTACTCTGAGATGGAAAACATGATGCATTGTGGTCTAGTTTGGGTCCAAACATGGTGCTGTTTGTACCCAAGTTAAACCAGAATGGCCCTCATCTGTTAAACTCAGATACACACAACTACTGATATTGAATGTTTTGGATTTAAGGAACCAACACCAATTCAGCGGCAGGCAATACCAATCGGAATGCAAAACAGAGATATCATTGGTGTAGCAGAGACTGGTAAGAAGGATGATATATGAAGAGCTTCAATTTGCCAGTATTCTTGGATTTCATGTTTTTCACAAAACCATTACCTACATTGTATAGCCCTTTTAGCTTGGAAACAGTGTTTTCCAAGAGTATGATAACTAATGTTAATTAAATGGATTGCATGCTGACGTGAAAGAGAAGTGTTAAGTTATGTTATGAATATTTTATGTAATGTTATGTTAAGGAAGTTATGTAATGAAAAAAAATTGACAGATGCCGAAAAATGGAGTTGTCTCAAATGCCAAAATATGAAAAGTGCTCTAATGATTGTGAATTGTGTTTGCTTTGTGATTGTAGGTAGTGGTAAAACAGCAGCCTTTACCATTCCCTTGTTGTGTTGGATTAGAGGTCTACCCAAGCTGGACAGGTTAGTATAGTAACAGGGGGTCAGAGTTTTTTTATTCAGAGAAAAATCAAATGATAAAATAACTGTTATAAATCTTGCATTCTGATTGGTTGGGAGCACATGCTTTATGACAGCACACAGCATGCATGCGCCCTTTGCATTTTATAAAAGAAATAGAAAACTTGCTTGCTGTGCTGTGTGGAGTTATAAAGCACTTGGGGATTGGCAGAACACTCGAGAAGTTTAGAGAAGCACTCCGCTACGCATCATGCTTCTCCTAACACTTCTCTCGTGTTCTGTCAACCCCTGTGTGATTTATAACTGCACACAGCATGCACGCTCGTTTTCTATTTCTTCATTAGACTAACTGGGACCACTTGAACAAATTTTAAAATAAAATACTTTAGCCAATCAGGAGAGAGCAAAATCAGTATCATATTGGCCTCAGTCATTCACAATCATCACTCATTCCTATCCCACGGTTGTTGATAACATCAAAGTGTCAAGTATCTAGCTGGCTTCATTGCTTGCTCTTCATTGGTTCAAGTTTGACTCGAGTTTACTTCCCTTGTTTTCACTCATGTCTTGAATGGTTAATCAGTTACCATGTCCACACAGGTGTAAACATACTTGATTGAAATTAAATTACTGAACTCTTTGTTATGTATTTTGTAGGGTTGAGGATTCCGACCAGGGACCCTATGCACTTATTATGGCCCCAACCAGAGAGTTAGCTCAACAGGTGAAAAATAGATCTTATTAGTCTGCTTGCTATATTTTGTCAAGCCTGGTCAAACAAAATATAAAGATGAGAGTATTTAATTATAATAATGATACAGCATTACACTTATGGTTTGGAATTTAGGCATGCAGTTCATTGTTTGTCACAGCATAAATTTCCAAGCAGCTTTTACTTCTACTTTCAGAACGAAATATTTTCCAACAACAACAATGAAAAATGCTATTCCTATAAAATATTTAGTGAATCTTTCCCTGGTTAAGTTTTATTTTCTTTATTTTCGGATAAAAGCTGTCGTTCATTGAGCTGAAAACCTGGAACTAGGAAATATTGAGCTACGAACAAAATGTTTGCTGATTGGCTAATTTCAAGGAGTTGATATTGAAGCTGTTATGTACTTTTCTAGATTGAAGAGGAGCTTCTGAAGTTTGGCCGTCCTTTGGGAATAAGATGTGTGTCCATAGTTGGTGGGGTGAGTACATATGTCAGATAGATGTTAGAGTAATTTTCCTGGGGTACCCAACCTTGCCTGTTTAGGGTAGGGATGTGCCACTGAGTCCTCTGAACCCTGACCCTGTTCCAAAGTAAAATAGCTGAAATTCATATAACAAACCCTTTTCCGGTACTTGCAAAAATAGATACCCTGTTCCAGAAAAAGAGAGCATGATTTTACATATACCCTGTTCCAGAACAAGAGAGTGTTATTTCACATACCCTGTTCCAGAGAGCAAGCATGATTTTATACACTGTGTTCCAAAGTAGAATTGCTGACAACCATACCCTTTATTGGTGGCACATACCTGTATAGGGGAGTAAGCCCCCCCCCCTCCCTCCCCTCCCAGGTTGATTTTACTTGGTCCATGAAACAAAGTTGTATAACTAGTGAGTAATAGTACACCTTTTGCTGTTCATTAACAGAAAATGTACATTCATTTGTGCCAATAGTTGTATCAATAACGTGTAATGTACTTTCATCAACACCACAAGTAACATCATTAGCGCGGATCAACTTTCAATAACGACAATTGAATATGCGTGTACATTCATAGGCATCAATGGACAATCAATAGCGCGTTTGTACATTCATATGCGCGGAATGTATTTTCTTGTGCGCGAAGTTCAACTTCAATAACACCAAATGACAGACAATTGCATTTATGGACAATCATTTACCCAAAAGTGAAAATTCATTAGTGCTATTAGCATAACCATTGACAATCTATAACGCGCTTGGACAATCATGAGGGTCAACGTTATATTCTATAGCGTGGTTCGACAAACATTTGCATGATTCGAATGAACAATAAGAGAAATAAAACAATCAATAGCGATTTAAAAAAAAACTATTTTAGCCTTCAATTTCTTCGCCATTTATACATCGTGGCAAATACGTTTGCATATATCTGAACCACTGATCACATTTAGCGATAGTGATGGTTRCCACATTTCTCTGGAACCCTTCCATTAGCAACTGCTTTCTGTAGAGACCTAGMGCAATCCCTTGTCATCTTGCCTCAGCCCAATAGTTCGTATGTTGTTGGATCTCTGGACGGCTGATGTCGGCTTTAATTGCTGCTTTAAGTGAGCTAATTGCTATTCTCCTACGCAGCCGCTATTATGGAGGCAGGTTCCTGAGTTTTTTATATGTATTACGTGTAAAGTGATTAAAAAAAAAAACGCTAATGATTGTTTTATTTCTCTTATTGTTTATTCGAATCATGCAAATGTTTGTCGAACCACGCTATAGAATATAACGTTGACCCTCATGATTGTCCAAGCGCGTTATAGATTGTCAATGATTATGCTAATAGCACTAATGAATTTTCACTTTTGGGTAAATGATTGTCCATAAATGCAATTGTCTGTCAATTGGTGTTGTTGAAGTTGAATTTCGCGCACAAGAAAATACATTCCGCGCATATGAATGTACAAACGCGCTATTGATTGTCCATTGATGCCTATGAATGTACACGCATATTCAATTGTCGTTATTGAAAGTTGATCCGCGCTAATGATGTTACTTGTGGTGTTGATGAAAGTACATTACACGTTATTGATACAACTATTGGCACAAATGAATGTACATTTTCTCTTAATGAACAGCAAAAGGTGTAATAGTCCAAGTAAAACAAGAAAACAATGGAATTAGTATCTACTACTGTGTATCATGCTTATTATTCTTTCACGGGTCAAGTAAAACTACTCTAATACCAAGAAAACGTTTGGGGTCCTGACTCAATATCTTGAAGTACTGTATAGCATAACTTACAATACATTTTCATGTTTTTCATTTTAGCTGTCTCGTGAAGATCAAGGTTTTCAACTGCGTCTTGGATGTGAGGTAAGTATGGTGGCAGCAAAGGTAGTAAACCTGCCATCACACAAACGTTATTACTGTCTTGTTTGAGGTATTTCATACCTTGAAAATATCTTGCTTTTTTTTATTCAGGTTGTTATTGCAACACCTGGTCGACTGATTGATGTATTAGGTAGGTGCTCCTCATGTTTGTTTCACAGTTCAACTTTTAACATCACATTTTTCACCTACAGTAGGATAACAAAATGGGATTTAACAGTATTTCCAAAGAGTGGCTCGTCATTCACAGAAATTTCAATTGGAATATATTAGTTGATTTTTGTGGAGGGAGGAAAACTAGAGAACCAGCAGAAAAACCCTTGAAGCACAAGAGAGAACCAACATACACCTCTACTCACATACAACACAGAGCCCGGTGGAACCCAAACCTGGGTTGCATTGGTTATGGGCAAGCACTCCCACTCCTACACCACCCATGCTTCTTTAAAAAATATACCTTCAATTTTTATGCTGGAATTTCTTTTCTCACAGAAAATCGTTACTTGGTGCTGAGTCGATGTTCTTATGTAATTCTTGATGAGGTTTGTAGTTTGCGATTCTTACTTGTATGAGCATTTAAAATCCAATATCTAAGGCTTACCTGGTACTGTATGTTCACCTGGTGTTTGTAGGCTGATCGTATGATCGACATGGGTTTTGAGCCAGATGTACAGAAGATCTTGGAGTACCTCCCAGTGACCAACCAGAAACCAGACAGTGAAGTTGCTGAGGATCCAGAACATTTGTTAAATCACATGGGCAAAAACAAGTACAGACAGGTGAGCCTGAAAAAAAAATCGTCCTTCTTTTACCAGGGTAACATTTAATAGCCAGTAGCCTAACCAACCTTTGGCCCTTGTTCCATGATAGAATTGGAATTTAGAAGTTTATTTTCGTGGAGGGAGGAAACCGGAGAACCAAGAGAAAAACCCTTGAAACACAGGAGAGAAATTCTACTCACCTATGATACTGAGTACGGGAATTATACCGTAGTCACGGTGGTGATAAGAGATATACCTCCCCTGCTTCCTTGATATAATACTACATGGTGACCAAAACATACTAAATCTCATGCAAAAAGATAAGGCAGATACATAGAGAGTGAATTAGTGATTGAAAAATAAAATAATGAACCTAAATAATGACTGCATTTTACTTTCTAGTCTACTTAAGTATAGACGTCCCTTGCAGCACGTTGGAATACAGCTTAATTTGGAGGACATAACAATAGGTTTCCAACTCTCAGGGGATTGAAATTCTTTTGTTTTGTCCTTTAAATTGAGCTGCTTTGTTGTCACATGCAAGGGGTCTGTTAAGAATATTCTTAAAGAATTAATTTCAGCACTAATTAATATTGATTATTCTTTTCAGACTGTCATGTTCACAGCTACTATGCCACCACAAGTAGAAAGATTGGCCAAAACCTATTCAAGGTGAGTCAATCTCCTTGAGCACATGGTAATTCACTTTGATCAACACTGTGTTCACACTAACTGAGTGGTTGGGCACAATAGCCATCACTAAATTATGATGCAACTATAACACAAATTATTATATTCTGGCAAGGTAATTTTACATGCTTTCATTTGCCAATTTGCAGTACGGACCACAAACCCAATTTTTTGTATTCACCTTGCCATATGATAAGTTACATCTTATTAACCCCACTTGCTCTGTCTGCACGTAAGTTATGGAACATCAAATTGTTTCCCCCACTTTTTCATGAGGCAGTGGGGAAAACTCGGCCCATAACTTCATCACGGACCTTGCGCTCATTTAATGAGAGCTATTTAGCAATAATTATACTCTTGAGTGCCTTGCTCAGGATACCATGGTGTGTACACACTCCAAGAGTGCCAGTGTTAACTCCAAATGAACCCCCCTGAAACTGTAGGGGTAAACTATAAAGTTAGTCATTGATAGAGATCAATAGGAATTAAGCATCAGGCAAAAAATGAAATGTTTTGCACCATTGTAACTCTTGATATTATAGATTCTCTTTTCCTTGATTCCTTGTAACTTGAAAATGCATTGCTCCCTCATAGAACCAGCCTAAGGGGGTGGGGTTAGGTCATCATAATGCCAGTCGTAATGTCATCACAAAAATCATTCAGTTGGAAGACTGAATTTCTTTTTTCTTTCCTTTATTAACAGGAGGCCTTGTGTTGTTTACATAGGATCAGTTGGTAAGTTTTTGAAGTACAAACCTCAATCTTATTGAGGCCCTGTTTAACATGCCGTGATATACCGATACTCTATATTAATGATTCAGTTAAACAATGAGGGTTTTGTATTCACAGGTAAACCAGTCGAAAGAACAGAACAGCGTGTTTATATGTTGAAAGAACAGGGCAAAAGGTATCGCACTACACTCATTACAATATCAGCTCCATCTTGCACTCAACCCCTTTCATCCTTACCATGAGGTAAGGGACAGCTAGCTGTGGTCTTACGAGAGTGGATGTGCTCATCGCTTGTCATCAACGTAACGTATTACT